AGGGATCAAAGTGTAAATTATGAGTCGTCACGATATATTGCTCATTTGAGTGGAATGAAAGTGAATAATGAAGAAGAAGCAGTACAAGCGGGTGCGTACCTTGTTGGGGAAGTTGAGAGTGTCAGGGAGGCGGTACTCATTCATGACCCAGTCGGTCTTGCAGCCGCGGGGAGCCCTTCCCTGGTAGAAGACGAGGGTCTTGCGGAGGCCGATGAGGCGCTTCGGATGGGAGTGGCTGAGGATCTTGCGGTCGGAGCCGGTGGCCTTCCAGAAGCCCTTCTGGGTGGTGCGGTTGGGGCGTCCGCCGCCTCCCTGCTTCTTGTCTCTGGGCACGAAGAAATACCACTCTCTCTCGCCGACCTTGGCCATGGCGGGGAGATCCCAGGGATCATGGAGGTAGATGTTGAGGAAGTGGATGATGTCGAGGCAGAGCTGGTTGCCGGTGATCATATTCTTGAGATAGAAATCGAGGAGTTCTTCTTCGGTGGGGTGAAACCGGAAGCCCGGCAACTGCATATTATCGCCCATATTAATATATATTCTGGTGCGTGTATGGAAGGCAGAGGTAAATAGTAAGAGAGGGAAGGAAGAGAGAATGGGTTGGATGGGAGATGGCATGCGCAAGAGTATTTATAAGGGCATAACGCGAAGGCGCTGAGTGGTGGGTCCTCTCTCCAGTCCCGTACTTGAAAAGCTTGACCTCGTCTCCCCTCTCCTGGCCACCCTTCTCCTTCGATCTGCATTTAAAAAACAGACAATTATACTCCATAATTTACCTCACCTGATGTGTCTGTGCATGCATGATTGGTTAAATTTTATGCTTGCAAGTTGCAATATATATACTTTTAATTCAATGCAATTTATTTTCCGTACACTCCTATTTAAGAGGCCACAAGTCACTCAAACACAACGGCGGAGTACATGTATGTATGTGCGCACAGAGCAGCACATTCCATAGTGATCTTAAAATGAGCATGTAGTGCTCATCTTAATACTCGGACCATCGACATTAATTTTGGATCGTTCAGATTCAACTCAATTTTTTTATGTTTCAAATAATTTTTAATTTTTATAGATATAAAATTTTAAAATAAACATGATCTTACTTCTTAAAAAAGTAAATTTCTTATTTGAAAAAATTACAGATTAAAAGCTCTTAAATCTAAAGTGTCAAATCAAATTTTGAATGATTCTTCTTATTTCATTATAGTAACGAGCACGCAATATTCATCGTTGCAATGGCTTTTGAATAAGGACATGTAGGTACGTAGGTAGCAATAAACAATGTATATTTAAATTTGCTTATTTCTTTATTATTATTATTATTTTTTAAAAAGGAAAACCTTCTAGGAAAGGGAAGGGAGCGAGGTGAGGGAAAAAACCTCAGAGAGGAGAGGAAAACCCTTCTGGGGGGTGGGATCCACACGGCATTGGCATATCGCTTTACGAATTACGACTTTTACTCGCCAATTAATTCCCTCTTCCTCGATTCTGTTCTTTTTACTGGACAAAGAGATCAAAATTCATTCGTCTAAATTACTTTTTCGTTGCTAACCTATATATATAATAGGATTTTATAATTAGATCCAGATGAGTAATAAAACCAGATTTGAGGAAGGAAGAAGTGTATCAAGAGGCGAAGAGCCGCACATGTACAGTATTTAATTTGTAAGTGACGGATGCGGAAAACGAAGCTAGTCTCGGCCTTTTTCATTCGACTTTGCTTCTCTTGCAATCCGGACCCTTCATTCACCCTACAAGTTTGAGCCAAATTTGTGTTTATTTGCCACAAATCTTCTTTTTCCTTTCCTCCACTATTACACGCTTTTTAATTGGTTTTTTTACTCCCAATATATATATATATATATATGTAAGCATATTTAACGAGGACGTACTAATGCAAAATCCACTACTACCTTGGCAGTATAATATCCAACCCTCTAGAATTTCCTTGTTAACATTATTGATCTAGAGTTCTTGACCTGGTCGCGTCCTTTTTCGCAGATTCTTTTCCAGGAGAAAAAGTGCCACAAGCAACAAACTTGGTATGCAAAAAGAGTCAAAGAAGAAGAAGGTTCAATTATTATACATGGGCAAAGCGTCAAGGTTTCACACAATTGTTGGTAGTTTTTCGGTTCATAGACTTCATTCCATTTTGTCGGAGATGTGTGTGAGACAAGGAAAAAGCGGTTATTACTTATTAATGGGAATGGAATATCAGCACAAATTCCCATCTGACACGTGTTCGATTAGTATTAGTAACCAATTACCGCGGTTCTTCAATTCCTCCAGCCAAAACAAAATACTATTGTGGTTCTTGAATTAATCTATCAATATCGACACACTAAATTCAGAGGAAGCCAGCCTAGTCATGAGTGATGTTTATATCTAGATATCTCTCTCTTTCTCCCCCCACATCTCATGAATTTTTTTTAAAATTCATTTTCATCATATTTTTCTCTCCTCAAATTTTCAATTCTTTAGTTTACTTTTTCTTAAGTCACATGTTGTTTCCCAGGCTGGGTAGGCATCCGACTTAATGACCAAAATAGATGAAACAGACATATATATATATATATAATTAAATGAAGGAGGAGATTACATATAGAAATAATAATCACTTGAACATGGAACGAAATGCAAAGGGCAGTCACATGGCATTGGTAATGAGGCGGGCAGTATGGTCAAAGCGGCCGTAAGGGCGTAGCGGTCAAGTGAGTGACCACTGACCAAGAGGAGCAAACAATAACACAATTTGCTTTGTCCATGAATAGGATGGTGAATTCAAAAGCAACCACGACGCGTTTTCCGCATTATTATCTTCATGTTCATTTGACGGCCAAAGTGTTGAAATGTGTATATATATATATAACAGGAAGAGAATAATAATATTCCTCCGGTCCTTGATATAAGACCTAATTGTTGAGTTAGTTTTGGTTTTAAATATAAGACCCATTTCTCATATTTATCAATTTTCTCTAAATTATTCCTATAGATACTCCCTCAACCACAATCAAATAGAAGAGGAAGATAAGGTATTAAAAAAGATGATTATGGTATTTTAGGAAAAACATGACACATTTCTTATAATTAACTAACTTACCTAACTTCCTTAATCTAATCAAATTAATTAAATGGGTCTTATATTAGGGATCGGAAGAGTAATAATAATAGAATTAGTGGGGCATGGTGGGGACAATGGAGCGTTTGACTTGGAAGTCGTCATGCAAAGACCTGCGAACAAGTTTCTCCTCAACCTTATCGAAGTCTTCCCATCTGCTACTTCCTCGAATGTCCTCTCCTCCTCTTCTTTTTCTTTTTCTTTTTCCAATTCATCAATCATCTAGATGTGCCCAAATATAATGTTATTTTCACCACACTCACGACATTAATCAAAGAGGTTGCCTCCAACCAATGTTTAGAAACAGAAATCACGTATGTGTGTCTCTATGCATAAATATATCTCATACGTATGCAAGAAAATGCGATGCTTATGATAATGCTGATTCATCATAATATGACTTAAATTGTCACTTAAACTATGCAGGATTTTATCATAAATTTTTAGATGACAATAATTCAATGAATTTTTAAAACACAAAAATCTTATTTGGTAATTTGTTTTTAGTTGATTGTTTTAAAAAAACAAAGCAGTAACATGTTTTTAAAAATAAAAAAACCAAAACAACTTTTAAATGTTTTCTTATTTTTGTTTTTGTGTTTATTTTTTGTTTTGAAAAGTTTTGAGAAATTTTTTTATCTTTTAACCTACTATCCACCACTTATTAGTAGTAACGACAACATATTATTTTTTATAGATTTTTTTAAAACATAATTTTTTTAAAAATTATTATCCAAACAAACTCTTTTGTTTTCTTATTTTCAAAGCTTGCTAAAAAACAATTTTATAAGATTATTTTAAGAACAAGAAAAAAAAAAAAATAAACAGGCCCAAAATCTCCCGAGGCAAGGCATGCCGTGCTTTTCTTTCCCTCCACTCGCGTGGGCCATCACAAATTGGCAATAGGTGGTTGTCTGAACCAACCCAACGCGACATTTTGTACTATTTAAGGAGCCGTACGAACCTTGAAAAAGTAATATCAAGACAAATTTTGAGTGGGAGAATTACAACGAAGTGCCTAAAAAATTACAAAATAAATTTTAAAAGTTGTCCTTTTTTATTTTAAAATTTTTATTCAAATTTATTATTACATATTATTTAGGTTGTTATTAAGATTTTTTAATAATTATTTTTCTTTCTTAGACCTAATTGTAATTCTCCCTTTTGAATTTGGAAAAACACTGCAGTCACAGAAGAAGTAGGAAAAAAATGAACAGCCTTGTTCCCTGGCATGACGTGGCATGTGTGCTTGACCACAACCCTATTATGCTTGAATGATTTTTCCATTGATGAGAATTTTGCCTTAAAAGATGAACAGAACAACAAATAGAGATACGCGCAGGTTCAAAACATTGCACGAATTTATTGAAATATTTATATTTTGCTCATTAACTAAACCCTAATTATATTCGAGCTGGCTTTATACGGCACCTAGTGCTTGGATGCGTGAGCTGCAAACCGAGAGGCCACGGTTTATGAATGCCGTTGTCGAAAGAATCTTGGGAACGATATGGGCGCCGAGAATTGTTTAGTGGGCCGGGCCAGCAAAAGGCTCCGATAATTAGTGGGCATTCCTCTCCGCCTTTTCGTTGGGTCCAAAAGTAATTCATAAGATTTGAATTGATGACTTTATTTAATGACCGTTACTTCCTCTCCACTTAACTACTGAATATTGGCGGCAAGATTATCATTTTTGACAATGGGCGAAGCAGATAGCCCCAGTCATGGTTACGGCGCCGTTTTCACTTACATTCTTCTTCTTTTTCCAACGTATTTCACTTAAATTCGCTATTCCCTTTTCTTTCTTTTTTTTTTAACTTATAGATTCACTATTCTTCGGACGAGTTTCAAATGCATTTATCTGATAGGAGCATAGACGGGCGTGATCTAAATCCAAGGCTGGAGTAATTTGAATACAGAAACAAGTGTACAGGGCACATGGTTTCATGGGTTTTAGGACGCACACAGTGCCTAAAACGAAAGCTAATTGGTTTTTGGGTTGAGGCCGTCTTTGCCCTTTTTGTTCTAATGGGCCCAACTGTGGTCTCAATCCGCATTCCGGACTACAACATGAACCCGCCTCCCTATTCTATACACTGCATTACTGCCTTTGACCTTTGCTTGCTTGTGACTAGTGAGGTGGTGAAACAAGAGATCAAACCCAATGTTTATACTACAATATGAACATCACAATATATTATTGTTATCAAGTAAAATTGGAAAAGAATAAGAATGTGGGTGAGAATGGCGAAGAAGAAGAAGAAGAAACGGGATCAGGACCAAGAGCCGTCGTCGCAGGGAGAACAGGCCTGTTTGGCGATGTCGGTGATCTGAACACCGGAGTCGTAGACGAGGCCAGCCTTCCAGTCCTGAGGCAGCACCTTGGGCGCCCATATCCATTTCCCGTCGTACCCTGACGTCACCACTATCCGCAGCTGCAATGCACCCGCCGGCACCCGATCCGTCGCCCATATGGCCCCATTCTTCCTGCTCATGAAGTTCCAGTTCGAAGACCCCACCTGTTTCAACATTCAACCCTTTTAGTTCACACATTTCTTTACTCATTTCAAGCCTTCTGCTCAGGCATTTCCACATTTCTTATTTACCTGAGCCACATCCACCCCCACTATCTCCGTCTGACCTCCCTGATACAGAAATTTAATTGCCAAGTAGTTCGGTTTCTTGCTCGATTCTTCCACCCGTACTCCCAGGTTCCGGTTTTTGTACACGCATGGTACTCTGCTCCACACACCATAAATTAGTTTGACTATAATGAAATTCCCATAAGTCACTGCTACAAGTACCCATTCAAACTTTGAAATCCCATTAGATAATCTGATATTATAAAACTAGTTTTTTATGGCTTCGCATCCGCTGCCTTAGATATGTCTGATATTATACGACTTCAGACCGTTACTGCTATTAATGTAGATGATCATCGTGCCATCCTGGTGGGCCCGGGGAAAAGGGGACTGAATTAAGAAAAGATGAACTCCATCTAGACTTAAATACCAAGTGAAGATGAATTGATGAAAAAGCTCACCTCTTGTATTCAACGTCGGCAATTCCGTGCTTCAAAATTTGTTGGCTCATACCCTTATTAGCCATGGCCACGAAGGCTCTGCTGCTGAGCACGAAATCAGTTTGATTGTTGTTGTTGAGATCGGTGACGACCACGGTAGTCCCTTCTTTGGTGCACAAACTCGGGTTCTTGCATCTTATCTGCAGAAATGTTATGAATTCAGGAGGACGGTATGCAGATGACTACAAAAGAAAATCGATAGAGGAACATAAGTTGAAGGACGCACCTGAAAGCAGGCACCACAAGCGGCGCCATCTTTGTAGACAGAAGGCACCGCCGCTGCCAGGCGTCCACCGCTCAATCCCACGGCCAAGGAGCCATACCCGCACGCCCCAGCTGCATACAAAGATTACCTCTCAGATATATGATAATTTCATTATGAAATCGGACAGGGAGAAGGGGTCCCATTAATTACAGGAAAGAGCAGAGGATTTAGAGAAGTAGGCGGCCTTGGATTGGACGACGCAGCGATCGCAAGCGGTGGCAGAGGAAACAAGAAGGGAGAGGAAGACAAGGAAGAAAGCCATATTGCGGTGAGTTCTGAGGTGTGACGAAGGGAAGGAGGAGGAGGCAATGAATAAATAGAGGGTAGAAAGGAGGAGTGTGGAGGAGGAGAACAGATAAGCATAGTTTCAAAGTGAAAGAGTAAAAAGGGCTTTTATAAAGTGAGATATTAATTAATAAAATAAAGAAGAAGACAAGTATGATTTCAACGCTGTGGCTACGTGGGAGTGCTCAGACAAGAAAGAATGAAAGGGACACGCTTTCTGGGGAACGCGGCTTCCTCGGCTCACCGGCCCTGCTTAGCAGCAGTATTACAGTGGGAAGAGTTTTTCGCATGCCTTTTTCTGATTCTGTGGTAGCATCGGTGGCAACAGGTGGCATTTGTCTTTTGCACTTTCGGAAATTTCCCCTTTCTTTACCCAGAGTAAAAGTACGGTGTTTTACTACAGGAGGATTAAGATATATTGAAAGTGAATGGCTGCTTTTATTCTAAAAAATTGAAGTGGATCGGCTTGGTGCTCTGTGATCATGTTATTTTGTTTTATAATTTTATGTTTTGTTGGGGTGGGGGGGGGGATTTGTTTTATACCAGGACCAATGACTGAGTTGCAGTTTGACAGGAGCTGGCATAAATAATGGTGATAAGGATAGGAAGCGGAAAAGAAGGGAAAGGGAGGGTGAGTTGGCTTGGGTGGCAAGCGGGGTGATTCGTTAACACTATTGGCTGCCCAAAGACAAAAAGGAAAGAAGCTTTTAAGATTGGTGGACAAGCAACGATGATTGCTTCTGAACTAGCAGTGATGAGGCTTGAGCCAAGTCTGTTTGCACTCATGTCCCACTCACGCTTCCCCATTAAGGAAATCAACCAAACCCCCCCACCTAATCCCATCTCTCCCCTGTTTCTGAGTTCCCAGTGCCTATATTTTCAACACTTTGATTGATTAGAAAGGCTTTTGGCAACGTTGTCCAAACTTTAAAAAGACAACTTGATAACTACCATCCTGTGCCTCGGCCCAGAGCGCCAAAGCCCGTTGCATCCAGCTGTCTAAAACTAAGCATGGCTGAATAATAGCGTCCCCCACAACGACTTTTATTCAGTGGGATTATTCTTACGAATTAAGCCAGTCCATGATTCTGTAATTGCGATATGCTGCCAGAAAAAAAGTACTTCAATCTTGATCCCTTTACATTAGGATACCTGCTTGGCTGTTTCTTGGATGCGGTATATATGCGCATAATAATATTTAAAAATAGCATTGTCCATTCTGCTGGCTAATGATCTTGTTTAACATATGAGGTCGGTTTTTAAACTCATTATTGCTTTGGACGGTATTGTAATGAGATCAAAATTCATATGAGTGAGGAATAAAATCACGTACGTAGCATTGTACACATGTATCAAATATTAAACGATGAATATATATGCCAGCGGAGTCTCCTCCACAGTCCACACCTTACCTCAGAACATAACATAAAAAGCATATAAATATGACGCTATTTTGGCGCTGCAAGTCTCAAGCATTGACTTTGATACAACTCATTACGTGACCAATGAAGAAGGAAAAGAAAGATTAAATGGAGAAAAGCGTAATTGAAGGTACACAGCATGTATTGGCTTGTCACTGCCAGCTGTTGTATTAGAAGAGAAAAAGGAGAGACGCGCTGCGGATTCAAACCTTTTAATTAAGCACAAATGACCAGTTGTATTATCTTCGTTTGTTCAGCCATATACTCTTTGCTTTCCTTCATCTTCAACACAAACACAACTCCTCTGTATTTTTGCAGGGTTATGTTCTGCATCCCCACAATTAGACATTCAAATCCCATATATAATGGGCTGCATTTCGAGTCTAATTAGTCCCACCAACAACAAGCAGACAATCGAGTCTAATTAGGAAATACTCTACTTCTTTTATTCATCAGACCCATATCACACGCTCGTGGGAATGCGACATTTGCCTGGTCATGACTTGGCCAATCTGTTTGATGTGTTGCATTATTGCATCTAATTTCCTGCTCGCTCAATCTATGTTCTCCTTGTCATTCCTCTAATAATGATTGGTACACTGAATCGTTCGTTAGATGTGAAATCAACTTACATATTAGTTAAGACTATTTACAAGCTGAGTTCTTTTGATTGTGCAACATGGGAAAAGCCAGGATCTCTTCTCATGCTGGCAACTGTAATCTATGTGTTGTTTGAATATTATGAACCGCATGACTTGCTTTATTCTCTCTGTATAAAATGGGTTACTATTCGTTATGGAAACCTTGTTCCTGAGATATTCACGGGTATTTCCTTCTTCAAGGAGCCACCAAAGTTCTTGTAATTCTTGTATATGCATTTAATAATGTAATTCTGCTGACTACTTATTACAAGCATAATATCACTTATTTCTTTACTCCTCCATTTCAATCCTTAAAGCATTATCTAGATATATATAAATATATATATATGAAATACATACTAGACATTTTATGAATTATTATCTGGAGTACACATATAACGTTGTTTTACTGAAATACTCCTAATAACCAACGATTGAAATTATATTAAGATGGTCGGTGGTAATTAATGAAGGATAAATTTAGGACAAAAACAATATTTTTAGGATATCAATACACATAAATAATTTTTGTGTGGGTCTGACCCAATTAAGAATATTTCTAAGAGGCTATAACACACGTGCATAACACTTTCCTTTTTTCCTCCTTGATTCCTCTTTTCTTGCGTCTTCCGACCTCTCCGCGTCTCCTCTCTCTCCACCTGCAACTTTAGCTTGTCAGACATTAAAAAAAGAAAAATGTCTTGGCTTCAAAATATGGGTTCATGATCATGATAATTTCCAAACATTTATAGATGGCACAATCATCTAGATCATGAGGCGAAGAAGGATGCCTGGACTTTGGTGGATGAATTGGCCCCTTATGAATTGTCACCACATAAATGGGCTAAAGTAGCTGAAGTTTTATCAGGAAGGGATGCTTTTTTATGAAGTTTGTTCTTTTAATTTTTGTGAGGTTTGCTTTAGTTATATGTATAAAATATTAGCAGCAAACACCTATAGCCCTATACACATAAGAATTTGGCAGAAGAACAGAGTTGAGGGGAGTTCATGTTGGACAAAAGGGGGTAGGGTTCATTGTCACTCACCCAAACAAGAAATTACAGTGATCAGATTTGGAGGAAGAAGGCGATGGAGATGAGAAGCATGAGGAGGATGAAATATAAGTAGATGGTCTGAGTTTAACAAGCTAAATAATAGAGAAGAAAGAGGAGGGTCAGGGGCGGGAGACGACGGAGGGATTAGGGATATTGATATCATGACAAGTAATCCTATATGGCGCATCTTCTGCTGAGGGCTATATCAGCAAGAAGTTAAAAGTCAAAATATGAAAAGTAAACCCCCCCCCCCCTCTTAATACAAGTACACAACGGAAGGATAAGAAGGTTTGTTTTAAACCTTTAAATACGAGAAGAATGATATGTACCTAACCTGAGGGGAGTTACGTATATTTTAGCTTTTTATGGTGATATTATATTTTAGCTTTTGCAATACAGTAAATTAGAGGGGTATTTTGATAAATATTACATTTCTTTTATATATATAATGAGAAATATTTTAATACAACCCGTTCGCATTATAAGAGATAGAAAAAATTAATTAAATTAATTATTTATAACAAATATATATTGACTTATCCAAATTATCATATTTAATCATGTGTATTATAATTATTTTTAGGCGGGAACCATTTACTATCAATATGGACATTTTGGATAAAAAATTATAAATTTTTGAGACTATGCAAATTAAAGTTTTGTATTTAAGACTAAATTCAACTCCCAAATAACTTTTATATTAAGAAGTAGATATGGTATATTTCAATGTACAAGAAATTTTTTCTCAAAATGTTTGTAGGAGTACATTAAAATTAATACTTACCTTACTTTCTTCACTAAGGCGGTACTTTCTTCATTAAGACGGCCCATTCCCTGCATTTCAAAAAGGGCAAACTTGGAAAAATTTAAAATTATAACAATCTAAATGCATGCATGTATGTTAGATAACATAGGTCTTAAAGGATCGGAGGAATATTTTTTTCCACATGGAAATATCTTAGTTTGTCCCGAAGTTGCGATGTGGCTGGCGACACGGCTCCACCCAACAATTGGGCAAGGGACGTGACTTTGGAAATTGAGGTTCAGCCCACCTTGGCGTGTCCGTTGATTTTGAGCTCTCTTCTCAGTCTCACCATCCGAACATGGATTTGGAAGCACCTCAAAGTCCACCTAAAGCCTGCCCCCTTCATCTGTGAGCCTACAACTCTAGATCAGGCAAGTCAGTCCATTTCCAAATGACGATAAACCAAACCTCGTTGGGAAGAATCAATCCAAAGGGCATGATTCTCATTTCTTTTTAAATTTTTTGTATCCATTATGAATAGCTCTGAAAGGCTTCTCTTTTGAGAAGTTCATTCATTTCAAAACCGTTCACTTCAGGTTTTAACCTTTTTTATAAACCTAATATTTTAGCATATTTGGCTTTCTTGTGTATCCTTCGACGCTGCCACATCACTTGTCTGTAAGCGTTTTTTGTCCTTTTGGAGACTGCATGGCTGTACACAACTAATTCAAACAAATAAGTTACTTTCAGGAGTACGGACGAGAGCACCTGTTAGAGTTGCTTGGGTAAACGGCCCAAAAAGTTAATGAATGGTTACCCGGATTAAAACATCTTAGCCTTGTGACGGATTAGTCCCAAGAAAAAAGCCGCCTTCTTGCAAGCTTGTCCTCAATCATACACGAACGTTGTCCACCAGAAAACCCAACATAGTGAAGTGAATAATTTAACAATTCACATGGCCGTGCCCCATATCAGCATTGCACAGAGTAAGCAAAAGCATATGAGTGTGTCTGCTTTTACGTACATATGCATATCCGTATATATACTGACACTTTTTTGTTATACGTATATATACCTGCGAGGGCAGGGTATTCAGACATTGCAACTTGCGGCTAGTGAAGCCATCCATTTCTTGAAAGTCCTCTGGATCCAGTTACCTCCAAAAACGATGATGAGCGTCAAGCAGAGGATCATTCAGATGGCAAGGAAGTGGCAGAAAAGGTCTGCCAGCGGGAGAATTTCTTATCCAAGTGGAAGGGACTCATCCGATCATGATGGGAATGGCTGGGCAGCAAATAAGGGGCACTTCGTAGTATACAGTACGGATCGGAAGCGATTTGTGGTTCCCATAGAATATCTGAGGAGGAAGGTGGTGAAGGAACTGCTGAGATTGTCGGAGGAAGAGTTTGGACTGGCAAGGAATGGACCCATTACGCTGCCAATCGATGGCACCATGTTGGAGTACGTCATGTCGTTAGTGGGAGAACGTGTGCCTGAAGACGTAGAGAAGGCTTTGATCTCTTTCTCTACCATGTCTACGTGCCACGCCCTCCCCTGCTCTCCTCATCATCCTCTTCTCCTCACACGACAACCTATCATCTACGGCTTTTGACGATCTGCTCTAATTTCTTTAAATCAAGTATTCAGAATCATCTTCAATATCGAGTTAACCGTTGTGTCATCTGCTTTTAGGACCCGTTTGGTACGAGAGAAATAGAGGGGAAAATATTTTAACAAGCTGGATTTAAAAAATTAAAAAAGTGAGGTTTAAATCCTTTAATTTATTTTTATTACTCTTTTATGTTACTTATTCTCTTTATTATTAAAATTTTAAATCCCTACTTCTTTAATTTTTTAAATAGGGTTTCTTAAAAAATTTTCTCCTTCTCTTTCTTCTATTTTTCTCATACCAAACAGTATCTTAGGGTACTGTAAATCACCAGAAACACAAGAATTAGGCCTTGCATGTTCCAATCCCATGTCAAACAAACGAGGATCTTATTTCTACACTACAGTTCTATATGTCTTTTGAAATCCTGTCTGAGGGCATGTAGCTTTTTATTCACGCGTGAATCCTGCATTGCCAAGAGATTCAGTGGTGCACTGTCTTCTGCTCCCTACTTTATTAAAGAAACAATCAATCCTTAGCTTGGCCCTCCTGAGTTGCAACGCCCCTTTTGATTTTGAGATGAGAAAGACGGGTGAAAAGGATTTGATGTTTCATTTAGCGCTACTGATCAATGGTCAATGATCATGGGGTGCACATTATTGTTGGCAACCACCACTCCACTAGAGTTCCCACCACGTACACCATTATATTTCAACCGCCATGAAATAAATCATTGAGGAGAGATAGGAAATTGGACGCCGTGCTTCAGAAGTTGTTTGTTATGAGTTGTGCAATACACGAGGATGTGAACAAATGTGAATCTAAAGTTTTGTTGCTGGCTCTCGTGTAGTAGTGGGAGGCAAAGCATTTCCAGTCACACTGATGAACTTATATCCATGTCACCTACCATCACTTTGGACAGTGTTATTGGTTGCTGACTCGATCAGGGACAACGTAATTTTATTTTAATTGAAGGGTCAGGTGCTAATGGCTTAAAATTACGATTACAAGCACAATCAAACGCCGAACTCCTCATTTATAGATTAATGGAGCTTTAATTTTATATAATTAAATCACAAGGCCATTGGCAAAAGTAATGCCTTTTACACATCCACCCCAAACACGACGGCACAGAACTGAAGTCCTTTCCCCCGGACCGAGCTTGAGTATTGCGTTAGGCACTTCATGGAACACATCCATGATGAAAACAAATAAAATAATATCCATTTTTACTAGAATATTGATCAATATGTTGATAGCATAAATTTATTGGTTCGTATCTTTCTTGATGGCGTGATGATCACATGCACAAGATCCAGATGGAATATTAAAATCAGACTTAAAAGCAAGCTGATTGCATTTAATTTGGACTTTTTTAATTTACTGACGTCATCAAGACCAGGTTGGTCAAATGTATGAAACTTCCTTTTGGAAAAGAAAATATTTTTAATGTTCAAAAGTACGGGATATTGTAGAAGGAGTGTGATTTTTTTCAAAAAGATCTCTCTCTCTCTCTCTCTCTCTCTCTCATTGAGATGATTTTTTTTTATGTATTGTGTTGTACGTGGATAATTTTTTTTTTTTTTGAATAGGTATGTGGCTAATTAATGGTGAGAGGAAAACATGCAACTGAAAAGAGAGCTAGTATATATGCAGCTGCTGGCGATGAAAGGCGGAGGGTCATGAGGGGGAGTGACCTGAATTATATTTAGTTGTTGGAATTTGGATATTTTAATGCCCGTATTGGAAATCGGTGCGCACCCAATTCCTAGCACACGTCACCTCCACTTCCCAGCATTTTCCCTCGTTCGTCTCCTGTCATCTCAATCATTACTTGAAATTTGAAAAGTAGTGTTCCCCTGCCTCCTCCTTTCCTTTCTTTCTTGATTTCTCTGATCAAATGGAACAGGCGTCATCAACTTAATTGGCTCCTTAGCTTATTAGAATTTTAATCTATATATATGTGGTCGTTCGTTTTACACACACACACATATTCACGCTCTTGAGCCAAATGAATTACATACCAGTTATTTCATTCATGAAGCTTGTGCCAGTAATTCTATTCTTCTCAACTCATAACGTACTCTATCTATGGATCTACATGTTAATTAATTAATCCAACAACTCATAGTGGAACCTTTGCGTAAGTTACGTTGTCGGTCGTGTCTGGTCTGGAAAAAGAGAGATCAGATATATCCCCATAAAGTGCACCACTTATAGAAATGAAAATGTCATTCACTACTTCTCTAAGAAAGGGACGGCTCTGATGTCCAATTTGGGGCTTTGAGGCAGTGGCCACAATGCAGCTTCCACTAATTCCACCCCCATGACTGTGAATCCCATTCTTTGTGTATTTGTTCCAATTTTATATAACATACGTTTAAAATTTTACGACTAGCTAGCTTTTATTATTTTCCAAGGGAGTACATCGAGAAGGAAGAAAAATCGCTTATGATGCAGTCGGGTGGGCTGTCAAACTTGGAGGGCTGTGACAGACTCGGAAATTAAAGTTCGGTAAATTACAGTGAAACAAAATGAGAAGGAAAAAAACAAGAATTTTTAGTATGGAAAATCACAACAAATTAAGCCAAGACCTCAGAAGTCATTCCAACAAACAGAGATCATAAATGCAAGCGACAAAAGACAAAAGAACGTTAAGTGATTCATTGATTATATTAGACTTTTTTGCCTGGGCGTTGCACAGCAGATCACATTATTTATAACAAGTTGTGTTGTTATTTTAATAAATTGCACATTTAAAATTGTTACATCACTGTATGTTTACACAATAAGAACGTACAACAACAATAAACAAGGTATGGACCGTGTGGCAGAAGTCTAAAGGAAAGGAGGGCGAAGAATTTTAATGTGGGGGGAAATTGTGAAGCAAGTTCCCAATTCTCACCACAAGTTCATATGCTCCCTGCCCACTCTAGAGTTGGTAATATAAATTGGACATGCAGGTTAAACCTGTCATCCCACAAAAAATAACAGGTTAGTATTGACTAAAAGTCAACCCGCTAATAAACAAAATTTTTCAACCCGTCTCGCCTAATCTACAACCCATTGTGGGTTGGCCCATCAATTCGTGGGCTAACCCCACATTTTTTTTTATATTTTTAAATTTTATTAATCATTATATATTATTATATTTTATATTCTATCTAACAAATTAAAAAAAATACTTATATTATTTATTTATTTGGTATTTTTAATTAAGTATTTGAAGGAAAGATAAAAATTTTATCATATTTTTTCATATTGTATAAGAAAAAACATTTAAAAAATAAAAGAAGAAATTAATAGTTGGCAGGCCAACCTAACATCCCACTATGATGGGTTAGGATTGACTAAATGCCAACCTGCTGTTACGCGGAACCTTACTTTAACTTGTCACGGGCCAACTCGCAATCTGTGAGTTGACTCTTATTACTACCCCTACCTACCCATGTCTTTAATTTCCTTTTTTCAGACTTTCCTCCTTTCTTTTATCCTCATGCGACACATGCTTCCTCCTGCTTTATATCAAAGAACACTCCTATCTTTTTCTTTTTAAAAACATGCTAACATACTTATTTTTTAAGAAAAGACGGCCTTTATCTATTTCTCAAGATTAAACCCGCATACATGGTCATTAAAAAAATGAGCGGCATTATTGTTTATAATTTATAAACAGTCTGTCTATTACAAATTTTATTCGGCAATATTAAAATATTGAGAGAGGAGAAAGTGGCATGAAGGAAATGAAATACAGTATGAAGTGGTGAGGTAACAAACAATAAAATAAATTATTGAAGGAGCTGGCCATAACAAACTGGGAAACCGGTTTCGGTGCTCATTTTTTATGAGTATCTTAAACTCATCAAATCTGAACTATTTATATTTGATTTGAACGGTTCACATTTAAAAATTTTAATTGATTAGTTTAAATAGAAAAAACTATTTTTTTTAAATGATAGTTAACAGATTATTTTTATTTTAAATTTCATCCATATTAAAATAATCATTTTGAAAAAATAAAAAAAAATCAAATTCTGACTATTCAAATGAGATATAAATAATTCAAATCTGATAAGTTTAAAGGATTCATTACATTAATGGGAATGAAATTGGTTTCCAACAAACTAGCTGTGGGTACGACTTATATATATTCGTCAGCAGGTGACATCAAACCAATGATGTCATGACTCGCGTAGATGGCTATCGGATGGGTATATAGGAATGGGGGGAAGGGCTTGACTCCCTGCACAACTCACTTGTTAAACTTTGGCCGTTAGCTAGTTCCGGGCACACATATCGTATATCCAATCTATAATCAACCCAAACTAAATGAACATGGAAAAAGAGGCTCAACAGCACCCATTGCCGGAAAATGCTGTGTTGCGTCACTCCGATGCTAGCTTCAAACCCCCTCTCTCCATCCCCATTGACGTCGGCATCTCCCCTGATGATGATCACCACCACCAAACTCTCATCAAAGATCCATGGCTCCCCCTTACCCAGTCAACACGCGGTAATTCCTTCTTTGCTGCTTTTCACATCCTCAATTCCAACCTTGCCTTCCAAGCCCTCGTGCTTCCCTTTGCCTTCGCCACTCTTGGCTGGTACGTTCCTCTCATTCTTCATGCACTACCGGAATCGCTAGCTTTTTCCTCAGTCATATATATATTTATGCATGCACATACAGCTTTGTGATATTTTTTTGTTAAGATGCATCTCATGGCGTAAAGGCCCCCAGAATTCTTGGTATATGCATATATATACTTTTGGCAACTAGCTTTATTAATAATGAACTGGATCTCGATAGCTACCGTCACGACCTTCCCAGTTCATGTACATTGTACAGACCCAAGGTTGACCCGACGGTCGACATATTTAAGTATAACGAGAGAGTTATGCAGGGCATGGGGTAGCGTATGCCTGTCGGTGGCATTTCTTTGGCAGCTGTACACCATATTCCTCCTTCTTCTGCTCCACGAATCCGTCCCCGGGGTTCGCCACAGCAGATTCCTTTTCCTCGCCATGGCCGCCTTTGGTAGTTCATTTTTTGGCCACGAAATTACTTACCTTATTGGTTGAAGGGGAGAAATATGGTTGTTGGAATAAATTTAAGGGGATATTCTTCTTTGACGTGCAGGTCAAAGGGTAGGCAAGGCGGTAGCATTATTCCCGGTGATGTATCTATCGGGAGGAAGCTGCGTGATGCTTATCATCACGGGAGGTAGAACCATGCAGCTACTTCTCAACACCACTTGTCCCAAAGACGAGTGCCACGCGCACCCGTTGAGCGGGGTCCTCTGGTTCTTGGCGTTCACAATCATAGCCATCGCCATCGCACAATTAACGCCCAGTCTGAACTCCGTTGCCGGCGTATCTCTCGTCGGGGCCATCAGCGCCGTCACCTACTGTACCTTGTTCTGGGTTCTCTCCCTCTCCAAAGGCAGGCCCACCTCCGTTTCATACGCTTCCTCCCTCTCCCGCCCTGGACATGATCACTCCGCTGTTTCTAACATCTCTGAGATTATCAACTCCATTGGCATCATTGTCCTGTCATTCAGAGGCCATAATGTTATGCTTGAGATTCAGGCGAGTGCTCTTTCTTTCTTTGTTTTTTTTTGGCTTCAGAGAGAATCCTCTCTTTAATTAAGGTTCGTTGATTGACGTATTTCTTACGTGTTTTGAATTGCAGGGGACGCTGCCTTCAAGTCCAGAGAAACCATCCAAGGAATTAATGCGCAAAGGAGTGATGGTGTCATATGCAGTGATAGCCATGTGTGTGTTTCCGCTGGCAATTGCAGGATGCTGGGCATATGGAAACCAGGCAAGCAAGCGAAACCTTGTTGAGTTCCACTATGTTAACTCAGTGGTATCCTCTGTAGGGTAAAATAAAGGAGAGGCTTTTAATTGAATTTGCAGATAAGGGAGGGAGGAATGGCGAGCGCGTTCGCAGAATTCCATGGGCATCAAGTGACGAAGTTCACGATGAGGTTCCTGTACGTGCTGATAACAATACATTGCTTGAGCAGCTTCCAAGTCTATGCCATGCCTGCATTCGACAACCTGGAGCAGAGATACATAAACGCAAAGAACAAGAGATGCCCAAGATTAGTAAGGAGCTGCTTGAGATTAATGTTGGGAGCATTGACTTTGTTCATAGCAGTGACGTTTCCGTTCTTGCCAAAGCTGGGTGCTCTGCTGGGAGGGATGACTCTAGTGCCCGTGACGTATGCGTACCCATGCCTCATGTGGGTGGCCATCAGGAAGCCTCCGAAAGGGGGTTATGTGTGGTGCTTTAATCTGCTTCTCGCTTGCTTGGGATTGCTTCTCTCTCTTCTTCTGGTGGCTTCGTCTATTTGGACTCTTGCCCGCTTCGGCTTACACGCTAATTTCCTCCACCCATGACCCATTCGTTCACAGCACGCTTGTTTATAAAATTCCATTAAACATGAGTACCGCCGGAAACTGGAAATCGATCCAAGCTAACCCCACTTTTTCACCGTGTCATGTTTAGCCCCCGCTCGGTAAATAAATTAAAACCTCGAGCGCAAAATCCATCTTTTCCAACTTCTATTTCCATTTGTAAAATGTACATTTTCATTTTATAAATGGACTCACATAAACAGGCTTATATATGGAAAGGAAAAAAAATAAATTCTGGTACGTTTGATCAATATCCCATGGATGTCGAGAGGGGTTTTCGTATTATCTCTAATCCTTTTGTAATTTGTCTTTACTAATTAATGGAGCATAAAGTTCTTGCTGAAGTACAAAACCCCATTTTGTAATTACATGGAAACAAGTGAATGCTCATGTAAGACTAGGATTCTCTTCACTGCCCTTTTCATCCTCTCTCCGTCTACTACTCTTTTTCCCCCTTCATAACTATTGGATCAAAATTTTAATGGTTCAGATTTAATATTTTATAAAAATGATGTTATTAAAAAAATAAATAAATAAATTTAAATTGTTAAACTTTGGTATAAACAGTTTATAACTGCAATAAAAAAATTGAAAAAAAATTCTCTATAATTACAGCATACAGTTATGAACTGATCAGATCAAATTTTAGCAGTTTAAATTTATATATCTATTTTTAATAATAATATTTATTTTTATAAAATGTTATAAAATATTAAATCTAAATCCGTGGAGTTTTGATCCGATAATTGTTAAGGAAAAAAGAGGATAGTGGTGGAGAAGAGGATGAGAAGGAAAGTAGAAAGAATCCAAGTTATTTAAGTAACCGGTAAAGTTGAAACTGCAACTTTTAAGCGGTGATGATTATAGCTTCGTCCTAAATTCTGTACAACAATCGAAGGCGCCGTTAATCAAGTAGGTGGGGGGGGGGGTTAACTGAATAGTTTGTTTTTGGCCCACACGTTGATTAGCCAGTAAGTAACGTCTACGTTAGCACTCTAGAAGTTATGGCGCAGATAGAATTTGCTTAAAGGTATAGATATATAATTGCGCTGCTTTAATGATTATTTTAAACATATTGAATATCCGAGTTACTTATTTCATAATATATATGCCCAGTAAAAACCCATCATGAATTGTGGTGAATAAGTTGTGTAGATATGAATCTGATAATTTAACGCAAATTTTTACTTTTTTTTTATAAGCTAAAAGTTTATATGAGTTGGGTTCCGGAGACTCACTAAGACTAAAATATGCTTCCAAGCTCACAAAGTCTTTATAGAGGTACTTACAGATCACTCACTAACAAAGTCCTCACATCAGTAGCGGAATTTAAACTCACGACCTTGCAGGTTATAAGTCCTCCTTACCAACTAGACTAACTCTTATTGGTTTTACGCAAATTTTTACTAGCCCATTGTCCATATGGTATGGAATAGAAATGTCTGTTTAATTGCAAATGAATAATTATTACACTAAACTTCCGTTTGGTATGAAGCATTGAAAATGTGGTATTAGAATTGAGATTGCAATTGAAAAAAATCATTAAAACAATATTTAGTATGAATAATTGCCTATTATACGGGATTAGGCAAATCCATAAAGGTGGGATTGGGAAATATCACTTCTCTCCATGGTATTCTCTAATCGCACGTACATGGGTTTAGTTAATCCCATATAACAAACAATCTCTTATACTAAATACTCTTTTAATAGATTTTCTCAATTGCAATCTCAATCCTAATCCCTCATTTTTAATACTTTCTATCAAGTGTAACCTAAAGGCATAAATAATTTTTTTTAATTCCTTGTGCAATGCAGGGGAATGTTGTTTTAGTAATCAGAGCAGAGAAATAAATAAGAAACTTCTTTTAAAAGTTATCACCACCAAACCAGGGAGAGCCAGAATACAGGAGGGCATGAGGCGGAGGCAATCTAAAAGGAACAAATGGGGAACTAATCGAAGGATTTATGCCGAGACTGGAAAGAGGAGACAATCTGACAATTTAATTTTGACCAGGTCGTCGTGCGCTCTGATTCTACTGAAGCGATGACATTGGTAAGTGACTTTCCAAATCATCGATGGAAGGAATAATATGATGGCTGATGATCATCTACCTAAGCGCCCTAGGACTGCAGATTATGGCGTCTGATCCTGGAGAGTGGAGGCTACTTGCCTGTTTCCTTTCCTGTTTGGTTTTCTTTTCTTTTCCCATGCATCCCCAAAAAGAAAAAAGAAAAGAAAATTGTCACCCAGTTATACTGAAATATGGGCAGCAATTTATTTTAGTTTATAAATTGTTGTACCCATGCCGATTGAAAATCAAGGCCATGTGTTTTGTTTTATTTCAAAATTTGCTGTTCTTAATATGGAAGGGAGGAATAAGGTAGGAGGCTGTGGGGGTGTGTGCAGGGAGCACGAGGGGAATTGGTTGGGAGGTCTTCTGAGGAAAGTAGGAAGATGCGGCGTGGAGGATGCTGAGATGGGGGGCTTGTTATTAGGTCTCGGGTATCTGCAGAAATTCAGAGGAAGGAAGCTGGAGGAAATTAGTGGGAACTGGGGAAGGCGGCAGCAGGCTCGTCGTGGGAAAGGGGAATAAGGCGCTGAGTGATGGTTGGGAGATGAGCGTCAAACACGTTTACCATTTTCAGGGAAGGAAATGCGGTGCCTCATCGTTTACCAATTACCTAAGATGAGTCCAAGTCAGTCCTATGGCTCATAGTACTTGGAAACTGGAAAGTCAGCCTGCTGATCTGGCCGTTTCGCCTCATGGGGATCGGCTGGGCGGGTCTCGGCCTCGTCCAATTTTTTCTTTTTTTTAATGAAACTGTATTCATCACAAAAGCAGTACAAATCAACAGTAGTAGGCCTAATTTTCATGGCCTCGTCCATTTAAGTTTTGATCAGCTTGCGCTTTGCCCCCCTTTTTTTTCTTCTTTAGCAAAAAAAAAAAAAAAAAGAAGAAGAAGAAAGAAAACAAAGAAAAAATAATAATAATATTAAAGCATTGTGTTTTAATTTCTTTCTTTTTTTTGCCAACTTTGAAATTTTTCATTCGAGCATATAACATAAATTGACACTTGTTATACTTTCATATTTGTGCATATTAAGAAGGAAAAATTAATTTGAAGGTCCTATAGTTTTCTCCAATTTTGAATCAGGTCTTTAGAATTTTTTTTTCTTTTTATTGGCTCCTTTAACTTTTTATACCTGTGTTCCTTAATCCTCACCTTTAGATTTGATTAACACCGTTAAAAATTTCCACTAGCCAAACATGTTTGACGAAGCTCTGCCCTTTCCTTCACCATCATCCTTACAATCCCCATCCAACCTCTCCACAAAAACCTTTCCTTCCTCGGTTGCAAAGTTAGGGACCCTCTCTGACTTTTTTTTTCTGGCTAAAATATAATGATAGATGGAGTTTAGAAGACTTTAGGGGATGTTAATTTTACTTGCTTTTGTTTTTCAATGCTGGTTAATTGCTTTTATTTTTCTCTCGTGTAAAAATCTTTTGATACTCTATCCTCTCTACAAAAAAGATTCATGCAAGCCTTCCCACTTATTAGATATAGCCAAAGAACTAGACCAAAGCTGTTTGCAATGATGATCACTCACTCTCTCTCTCTCTCTTCGAGTGTGTGTGTATAATCTTAGTAAGGTCAAGGGAACTGTACCCTATCAAATTCGTGGCTTGCTAATTAGAACTATTCACTTGCTAGTTACTCACTCATCACTCTTAGGCTAGAACTATTGGTGTTCTATTGAAGTTTTGAAGGCCTCTGTTTTTTGCGTTTGAAACAGAGCCAAATATAGTCTTTTACTCAACAAAAGTGCTAATCACTCCAAATACTCAAAGGACAATTATAATTATGCCCAAAGACTGGTCGTGGTCGGTTCAGCACCGTCTTCCACTTCTTCTACCCCATCCCTAATGACTTCTTTGCCTGCAAAGTCATTGAGGAGCGCCATCTCACCGATTCCCTCATCGCGACTGCCTCCAAAATGAACCCAAGCGCATGGCTCTCTTCCCCATACCCTCATATTCTTCAGATTTTTGACGTCTTCAACAAAGGAGATTTCCTCTATTGTTCTCTAGCTTTGCGAGCTCCTAGATCTCCTTGACCACATTATCGGTTGTCCCTTGCTAGAGATTGGGGTCGTGTCCACCATGAAGCAGCTCCTCGAAGCAACTGTGCATTATCATTTACAAGTCAGGAGTATGGTGTGGAACGAGATGATGTTGAGCATTGAGAGAGGGGGAGAGAAAAAGCATTCGGTCAGACTTAACGCTTAACGGGCTCATGAAAACGGTGTTACTCAGTATTTAACCACAAGGACTGACATACATGACGGAGGAAATAAAAGTGTGTTTAGGGACTTAATTCAAAAACAAGTTAAATTATGTGGACCTTTAAATTAATTTTCCCTATTAAGAATAACACTTGGCTGATGCGCTAGATCCGTAACATTCCGGCTTCCGCCAGACAGCGCTTCCCCCAAATCGCGAATCCATTTTGCTCCTTCGATACATAAGAACTACGACAAATTAAAATCCCATAAACCGTTTTTAAAATTGCCCATCGTATTTGCAATGTCCTATTTGATATTTATTCTTTTAATTAAAATAATTATATTTCGTGAATAATACTAGTAATTATATTTGACCAAAATATGCTCACATTATCTCTATTTCATTTTAATTACATTGGCGTACAAATTTATTTTTTATTGGAAATTTATTCACGTTTATTTAGTAATCTCATGTATCTCCAATCAGTATATTTTCTGATTGATTCAAATTGCTTTTAAATTTCAGATTCCTACAAAATCCAATTGTATCTATCAGTCTATAATCATCTATTTGAAAGTAAGCTACTTTTGTAAAGCGTATAATTGTTATCTTACTTCAGGACTGATTGTTAAGTCTATAAAATTATCAATCTAATGCATAAAAAATTATAAATATACTAATATTTTGATCCTTAATATAAGACTTATTTTGTAATATAATTTATATTATAAAATGAATCTTACATTTAGAATCAGAAAGATTATTTATATAATTCAATTCCCACAATATAGGTTTAGATTTAGACATGTTAAGTTACAGAACGTTCACATATCACAATGAATTTGTTGGATCTATTAGTTCTTGGCCTAAACAGGCAATTTAACTATCAATTTTTTTGCAGGTTATTATGTAATTCCCAGATTTAAATGTCGCACGGGATTGTATGATATTTGAAAAAGTCATTACTTATCTGGTGGCACATGTCGAACAAAAAGATTGATAATAACTAGATCCGTCACGTGTCATGGCGTTAAATAGCCAAATCATTACGAAAAAAGCGCATTTTTTCTTTCAAATGATGAGATGACTTTGGGAGTGTTTGGATAAGACAAAACCATAGTTTGAAGAATAGCTTCTGGAGAATAGATTTTGGAAAGAATAGATTTTGAAAGAATAGCTTTTCTGAAAAAGTGATTATGATAAAGTAAGAGTGTTTGGATAATTCTTGTCAGAAGTGATTTTTGATATGTAAAAATTATTAAAAAGGATATAAGTTTAAATAATAATTACATGTAAGATATATTTCATAATATATATTTATTTAAAGTAATAAATTTGTTAATAATATATATTTTGACAACATAATAAATAAGACATAAATAATATAAATAATAAAAAATTAATGTGTATATATATTAATAATATAATTAAATATGTTTTTAGGAAAATGATTTATTTTGCCAAAAAAAAATTATTATTTTTTAAAGATGAAATCCCATAATTTTTTTTCATAAAATTAAATAACCACAAAAAAAATTTCATATTAATTGTCTTAATAATAGAGGTTGCAACGAAATATATTTATCTAAATAGTTTTTTTTTTAACAACACATTATAAAAAGTAACACTATTTTTTATTTACATGATTGACTAATTCTCACGATTAAAAAAAACACCATGTATAATTAAGTAAAGAGTACGATTTTTTTATTGCAAACTTGAAAGACGTTTTAGGCCAAAGAATTGTGGTTCCATCCCTTCCAGCATCGCTGGAACCACCGTGAACCTCGTCAGAATCGCACCTACCACCCTCTTCATTTGCAAGTACGCCATCTCCTTCCCTAGACAAATCCTTGGTCCCGCCTGAAACACTGGATAGCTAAACGGATCTCTCGCCACGTACCTCCACTTGTCTGAATCTTCACCACTTCCCTCTCACTCTAACCATCTCTCCGGCTTATACTCAGCCCACTCGCTCCCCCACAGCTTCTCCATCCTTCCCATGAAGGACCGGCGAGCAAAGGATCGAAGAGCGAAGGACCGAAGCTCCGTTTTCTTCAGAGCGAAACTGAGAGTGAAGGAATAATACCTGATGCCTGCTCTTGTACCTGGGCCCACCTCCAGCTATCAATAATATGAAGGAAGAAGCTAGCTCCGGATAGCTTTTTTTCAAACCAAGGTTTTCGGGGCCAAAACCATGGTTTCCCCCAAAACCATGGTTTCAAATTAAAATGGGGTGTTTGGCTGATTTTTCTCCAAACCATGGTTTGGAGACCCAAACCATGGTTTGGAGAGAAAGCCAAACACCCCCTTTTATCTGTTTATCATGTGAATCGCATCAAATGACCATTTTTAAGAACACATAAGCATGAGTTATTTGGGCCGACGTCGAGCACCAGTTCTCAAATGCATCCACATGCACGACCAATCCAGACAAGCCCCGACTTTCTTAACGCTCCTCGCTTGCCAATAAATAATGGCCTGGGTCGGGCCCAAAAATCTCCCATCGGAATTTTGATTATTCAGGTAACTTTATGATTTTTCCGGCAGTATTGTACAATAATCATATCCCACCAAGTCTAACTAGTCAAGATCACAGAAAATTTTTCCCTCAAGTTTCTCATTTAAAACAGTTTTTCCTTTAAGAAATGCCATAAATTCGTGCGTAAGCATATCAAAAGAATAATATCCAAGGAGACATCAAGCAGTGACCCAAAGGTGTATTTACCATGTAATGAAACAACAAACTTACATGCTAAAATAGATTAGTGAAGCATGCAGTGGATGCGACGGTGGATAACAAAAACAAGGAGGAATTGAAATGCACACGGAAGTGTGTTGGAATGGGAAGATGAGAAGAGGAAAAGAGTAAAATATTGAGATCAGTTATAGAGACAAGAATGGGTCAAGTTAGAAGGTTTTCCAAGCTTGCTGCCATGAAGAGTGACAGAGCATCGGATTCTTCGATAGAATTTAGAGCGAACCAATGATCCCAGGATGTGAGCCCTTGATCTCACCACAAACGTGAGGTTCAGCGGCAACGCCACATTCTGCTTCTGCTGTCTGGCGTTCCCAAGAGCTGACACTCCTCCATACAGCGGCACTTGGTGCCCCGACACCACCACCACCATCTTCTTCTCCTTCTTCCTCTTCACATAGAACTTCTTCATCTGTTTTCACATACATCTCAACATTTTATACATCCACATGCTATCACAATTCAAACTGAAATAGATCGTTTTGGACACCATATCCTCATTCTTGCCCTGTATTGTGGACACGAGTACCGCTTAGTCGCGACTCCTGTCTCTGTCACCAATTACACCCTTGTAACCAATTATCTAGCCATAACAATTCTGCGTCTAAAGATCTACAACACTCAATCCCAAATCCCGACACATATAATGTGTGATTATTTTATATAAGCTTTGCATAATATCAAGTATGCAAAAACTAATAGTGTTAGGAACACTGACGGGGAAGATCCTGTCATGTGAGGATGGAATCGGGTTGACGGGAATTGAGTACCGCCGAAGTGTGGTCATAAATAATTTAATGCGTGAAAAGAATATATGAATAAAGAAGACACGGATGAATGGAAATGGGCATTGGCGGAATAAATGTAGTGGGGCACACTTGTCGAGGGGAACTGAGAAAATTGATGAAGGAGAGCAGAGATGGAAGCAAGACCAGCAGCTTTTATAACAAAAACACCCAATCAAATTCAACTGATTCTGTATCACTGTAGTCCCCGAGATTGGTATTGACCCCCACCCCATCGAGCCCCACTGGCCCGAGCACCCAGCGTGCCATACCACCACCCTTCCCGTCCCCTTTTCCCTTCTTTTTTTGGGTTCTCGGAAAGGTCAAAGACCTTTACCCGTTGTAATTTTCACTCTGCGCATAGCTATGATCATCAAAGGGAGGGAAGATTGGGATGGGATATGAGGGATTACTTACTGCTACGTGTTTCGTTGTCTCTAACATCAAAAGCTACTTATTATTATTATTTTTTTGGCATACAAAAAGCTGCTTAGTTTTACCTGCCGGAAGCTAGGCTGAGTTGATAGTAGTGAAGCTCAAGAGGAGTCGAAGTGACGTGGACGCCGAAGAATGTGGCTGGATTTCTGTACACGATCCTCACCGTTGAGTTCAACGACAGCATATCTGTTGGTACCCCGGTGTCATCATTCCCCGCTTGGATATTCAAGTTCTCGAACACTATGTTCTGCCCTCCCCCGCATTCCGTTCCATTTGACAAATAAAATAAGGACAATAACTACGTCAGGACCCGGTATCAAACAATCCAATCAAGACATGTTCAAAACCTAACCCCCCGGACCAACTGCAGAATCAACACAATGGAATTAAGAATTTGATCTGACCTTAACTAAAACTTTAGGGCCATAACTCTTGCTGGCTCCCCAGAGTATGAGAGAGAAGACCGTGAAAAGCAGCACGAAGAGCAAGAAGAAGCATAGGTACAAGCGGATGTTGTGGCCGGAGCCTTGATCGGCGTCGCCGACGTCATCGTCGTGGTCGTCGTCCTCGTGGTGCTGGGACTGGTGAAGTTTCTTCCAGGAGGAGAGGTTTCTGGGGTTTTTGAGGGAGACGGAGAAGCGAGAGGTGGAGGACTCGCGAGAGTGATGAATGGGGGAGGAATGGTAATAATGGTGGGGGGAACCCAGAGGACTGGAGCCGTAAGACATTTTCTCCACATCGTGGTTCGACGGACTCTGAACGTAGTAGAGCGGTCTCCGAGGGGATCGAGCCGGCCACGACTGGTCCACGCTGGTCACCTCCGAGTCTGACTTGGTATGCATTCCGGCTTCTCCTGCCATGGAAGACGGTGTCAATATTCGGGAAACAAATTCAGTTTACCGTTTTTGTTTTTTGAAAACAAAAAGGGCAAGAAAGAGAAAGGCGCTTTGATGACATTAAGGTTTACTGTGGAGGAAGATATGAAAAGGGGAGAAAAATTTTGGGAAGGAAGAGAGGCAGGAATAATACCCAGAGTCGAGAGAGATGAAGTGGCAGGGAGAGGTATGCTGTCTCTGCCCTCTACTGTAACCCACACGCAGACTTTGTACACGGGAATATCTGTTTTTCAAAAGCCTACACGCCTCGGCCTTTTTGGTCGTTTTCATTTCCAATATTTTATTACAATAAATAAACCGGCCTAGCCTCTCTATAACATAATATATTTATTGCATGGTTTATACTTATAGGTAACTGACCTAGCTTAAAAGCTTCATACGAACATAAAATTTATGACAAATTATTATTACTTGTCAAATTTGTGTAATGCACAAAGCTCGTCTAACTTCATATAATTATAATTGTCATGCAATTTTGTTTTGTTCGGCAAAAAAGAAATGTGATTTTGTTTGAAGAAGGTAAAATTTACGTGTATCTATTATTTATATGAAAACCAGTTTTTCAGCCTTGTAAAAAGGAATAGCATAATTAATTAGGGAAGAGGGAGTGAGAAAAATTGGAAAACGCGTGTGGGAGGGGCACAACTGAAATGCCAGTTAGGAAATGACTGGGATTGAATGGTGAGCTTTCGCTCCGTGCGGGCATCCAATGGGGGAGGCGCCGTTGGGATTACTTTATAATAACACAACAACGCCCACTGGTCAAAGCCCTCCAATGCACTTTTACACCTATTTAGCTTTTTTTGAAAAAAAAAAAACAGAAATTTGTTTGGGGCTCCGCAGTGGCTGCCTTTCTACAATAACCAATCAATTAACTGAAATGAATGAATGGGCGTTAGCAGCACAAAACAATTCAACGTTTTTGTGACACGGGAGAACGTTGCTTGGCTCACAAAGCTCAAGGGGCGGGCAAAAATGTTCAAATGAGTTTGGTTTGAACACAAACTTATGTGGGCCCAATTCTGAGAGCAGTCTGCAGTCTGCACCACGTCGTTGCTTTTACTTTTTCAACAACACTCCAATCTCTGATCTAATCTCATATTGAATGTACATACATGATTGAATTCAATCGCATACGCTTTTCTAATGCCGTCCTCTCCTCGTCCTTTGCCTTCTCTCTCAATTTCCTCCCCCCACACAAACAAGGAAAACATCCTGCCCCTGCCCCTGCCCCTGCCCCCATCCCATTCCCAACTACAACTCAACCCGCCTAATCTCCGCCCCCAACCACCTTTCCCCGTAATTCCATTGCCATTAATTAAATCAGACTACTCTCATCTCAATTGTGAGGCCCAAGTGTCAGGGCGGGCTGGTGTTTTGGGCCTCCTCAAATTCCCGTACGAGCTGAGGATCCACATTCTCTTGGGGCTCCCACGTGGGCTGCTCCATGTCCGCCCATTTCACCAGAAACTCTGCCTTCCCCTCCTCCCCCTCTCTTCTCCCCATCACTCTCTCCGCCACCGCATACTCCAGTCCCGCTTCGTAGTCTCCAGCCACATCCTCTGCTACATACTTCGCCTTCACCCACTCGTTCTCCCCTCCGTCTTTCCATTTCACCAAATACTCCGTGTTCTCCCCCTTCCCTCTCTTCTCCGCTATCCCCTCCACCTCCGCGTACTCGTATATTGCCCCCTCCAGATATCTTATCACGCTCTCCAGCCCTATCCTCCTCCCGAACTGCATCGGGTTCCCTTCGGTGTTGCGTTCAGAACTTCCTTCGCCAGCTCCAGCGGCGTCCGTCCCCTGTCGTCCTCCGCCTCAACGTCCGCCCCCAGATCCACCAGAAGCTTCACCACGCCCGGCCTCACGTATCCGGCCGCCATGTGGAGCGCCGTCAGTCCCCCCGAATTATCTCGATGGTCCAGATTTGCCCCCGCTTCGGCCAGGGCCCTCACGCACGGCTCCGACCCCAGACCCGACACGAACAGGAGCGCGGTTCGCCCGTCACTGTCGACCGCGTCGACGTCCCTGCCGTCGTCGGCGTCAATGAGCTGCTTGAGAGCTGCTTCGTCGGCTTTCCTGGCCGCAGTCCACCACCGGGTCTCGTACTCGGCCACCACGTCTTTGGCGATAAAATCGGAGGGGACCCAGGAGGGCTCATGACCATCTTTCCATTCGATCAGATACTCCATGCCAGTACCGCCTTCAAGGGCTCTGCTTCCGATAATACCTTTAACTTCTCCGTAGGATTCATCCTCCTTGTCGACGGGAGCGGGCGTGTCCTGGAAAATTTGCTTTTCTTGATTTTGAATGGCGCGGAAGGTGAATAAGGCGGCTTCAGTCGGTTGAAGGCGAAGAGATCGTGCGGGAAAAGTGAAAAGAGGTGAAGAATGTTTGTGTTTGGAAGTAAATCTGAAGTGGGAAACAGGTTTACTCAGAAGCAGAGCTTCCATTTGTGAGTTTGGTGGTTTTGGTTGAGGATGGCCGATTAAATGACGGGGACGGAAGGGTGATGGTGTTTGTTTGGAGATAAGGAATCACATCCACTTCGTGGTTGGAAGACGGACTGGATTTGGATAAAAGGACAAAAGACAAGAAATTTTATCATTGTTAGGGCTATATTTGAATTAGCGATTAAAAGAAATAATTTATTTTTAATCTGATTTTTTTAAAAAAATTAAATTAAGTAAAATTTGGATTAGGTAATGTGATATGTGTTTAAATTGATTTTTATAAAAGTTGGTTTGTAAAATAAAAAAATTGTTTAGATTATGATTAAATAAGTAAATTTAGTTTATATAATAATCAAAATAAGTATAAATTTTATTAAATAATAAAAAATTATTAAAAATATAAATAGACAAAATATAAGAAAAAAGTTATGTTTAATGAATAAAATATATTTAGATTAGAAATTATGGTAATCTGAAAAATCAAATGGTATTACATAATAGATGATATATTCTACATAATTTATGTAAAGATAAAATATTATAAAAAATATTTAAAATTATTTTTACTTAAAATAATATTAAAAATAAATAACTAAAAACTGGTTAAAAACACAAAGAATATATAGAAAAAAATATAACAACAACATAAACATAAAGATAAAAATATCTTTTAATTTTAAAACTATTTTTATATAAGTTCTAAGTAAGTTTTAGGTGTTTTTATAGTCGTACTTAAAAAAACAGTTTTATCTATAAGTTAAATTAGTCAAAAACTATGACAATTTTCAAATTTACAAACCAACTTATTGTACTTATAAATTACTTTTTTCCCCACAAAACGTCTTACCAAACAGGCTGACTAATGACGGCTAGCGCTAGCCACAGGTCCACAACTATTGGGCTACGAATCTCAATGGCCGTGCCAAATGTTCACTCCAAACATTTGTGGTGGTTATGAATTTTCCTCGCAACTGGTTTCTTGCATAGCCTCCCATGTTGCAATCACTAAATTTTGCTAAAATATGCGAAGCCTTTTAAAGCATACAATTAATCTTCTCTTGCATTTGCCATCAAGTGTGATGGAGAAAGCATGCGATGAATGTGCATGCCTCACTCTTTTGTTTTGTTTTTTTTTTTTTGGGGGGGGGGGTCTGGTTAACATGACAATTAGGCCATTTACGATTATTCTTTTAAGGACAAGAGGCCTACTCCTTGTGCAGGAATCCATCATGATGATTGCTGTAAAGAGGCCCAAAACAATTGGAGTTGAAAAGGGGAGGCTGGCATTTAAGCCCAGAGGAGGAAGGGGGAATCAAGACGCGTGGTGATTAGGATTTAGGAAGGGGGCAGGGGGATCAATTTGGGTTCCGCGTTGGAAGGAATTCGGTGCCATTATATTATTCCTCAGCCGCTGTATGTTTTGACCTTTCTTTTCTTGTAATTGAATAATGAAATCCAGTGGTGTTCCGAGCATGTTGGCCACCTGTCTTAATTGATTTATGTTCTAAAACAGAACAGGTGGGGCCATTATCATTCACATGGAACGGAACAGGGAACAGGTCCGACTTCTCCTCACTCCTCACCGCTATTCAACACACAGCTCATCCATGACTTTAATAGTCAACTCCGCTCATTTTTAATTCCGTGGTGTCTGCAGTTAACTCAGGGCATCTCCCCACACTAATGACGATGACCATGACTATGAGCAGCATTACTTCATAACTCAATTCAATGGTTTAAATGCAGATTTCTGGATCTTTCATATATGGCGTTATCATGACGCTGAACAGCTCCAAAATAAAAATGTTAATTAAAACATGACATAAAAAATCGAAAACTCAATCACAAAAATTACTTCCATGTGAAAAAGGCCCAACCTGTCATTTTATCCCAACACAATGTGGCCACAGCCGAAGCACCAAAAACAAAAAAAAACAAAACAAAAACAAAAACCAAGAAGAAGAATGTCTCGGAACTGAGTATAAAACGAACCAATGTGGTTGAAGTTTGCGCGTATAGGAAGCCAAGCTTTTGCGGATGATGAAATGGAATTAGGTGAGGCGTAATAAAGTAATGGAAAAAGGCCGGCAGCACATCACATGAGCATATCGTGTGCTGCGGCGTCTTCCACACGAAAAATTGGTATATTGTCGCCTGCTCAGTTCCAGCCCATACATATGTTGCATCTCATCTCAAATCAGTGTGAAACCCTGTCTCACGCGCTTCTCTCACCCTATATTCTCCTCCTCAATCATCAAGCCTCATCATTATCAACTCTAAAAACAAACATGAATACTCTATTTTAATTCTCAATTATGCCTTAGCTCTCCAAACGCATCCTCCCATCCAATCCCATTTCCCTTCTACACCCAACGCGTTCTCGCTCCCTTAACCTCTTTCACTTGTATCCTATTCCCACCACCTCCCCCTTATATACTCCCAGCTCCTCTGCCTCTGCCTGCCTTCATCATTCACTCCTCTCTCTCCCTCTCTCCCTCTCTTTGCCTTCCTCTTCATTCTATCGCCATGCTCCGTTTTTGCTTCCTCTTGCTGCTGCTGCCGCTGGTTACTGCCGAGGACCCTTACCGATTCTTCACCTGGAACATCACTTACGGCGACATCTATCCCCTTGGTTTTAAACAACAGGTTCTTCTTCTTCTTCCTCCTCCTCCTTACCATTCTATGTCTCCCTCATTTTGACTTACTCCTCAGCTCACGTCCATCTCATTCGTTCCGCATGCAGGGCATCCTCATCAATGGTCAATTTCCTG